TTCTGGAGGCAAGTTGTTGCACTGATTAATTGTTCTAACCGAACAATTGTTCTAACTTAGAACAACATAATAAAAAGCTGCACTGATCTTAATGTGGAGAAGGCCTTTGACAATCAGAATTGGATTTTCTTGTTTAACATTTTGAAAGATATGGACTTCAGACAGAATTGTATTATTTAAGTGAAATCAATCTACGCTAAAAACACAAATTGCTAATGGAGAATTAACAAAACTGTGAGATAGAAAAAGGGATAAGGATGCCCTTTGTCTCTGCAACTAAAGACATTTCTTGAGGATTTTATGATAATTTTGGAAGAATTTTTGGAAGGAATTCAAATACAAATACTAATGGAAAAATCAAAGGAATGTAATATTTAAGATTAATAATCAAAAGATGAAGATGTTAAAAATATGAAAATGGAAGATCAACTAGAATCAATGAGAAAAATTAGTTTTAATATTGAGAACAAAGAAAAATGGGCTATATTGCACTTGTTGTTGGGAGAGAACTTCTGTGACAATAATGTTTTGCCTAGAATGTTTTGTTTTAAACAATACTATTTTGAAAACCGGTATACCATTTAAGTAATCACAGAAATATATGCAGTATCTAGGGGTGCATGGCAAAGGAAAAAAAAACAGGTGAAATGTAAAATTTTCCAAGATGGACAGGTAAGGAAACAGGAGGATTGGGTCTACACAGTTTACAACTGTACTTTGCAGCCTGCTGTTTGGTCTGAATGAAAATAAGAAATTGAAAGGAGTTACGTTATATTCTGAAAGAGAACTGATAAAATGATGCAATGCTATGGTTGATGAAGATGGCTGCATTGATGTGTTTCATTAGATGAATGACAAAATATATGATGACTGTGCAAAGAATTAGAATAAAAAAAATAGCTGTGGCATCTAATTACAAAACATCTTCCTGACACTCTGATTGGAGAATAGCAAACCCTTACCAAGAGCGATCACGTTCTTATAATTTTCCATCATGACTTCCCAATACAGTGCTTTTTGGTCAGGATCAAGCTCACACCATTCCTCCTCGGAGAAACACACAGCCACCTCCTCGAAGGAGACAAGGCCCTCCTGACAGGGAAAAGAGTACACAAAAGGTCCAGGAGGAATTGTAAAAGAACGGTCCTATTGTTTATAAATCCCCAAAGCAAAGCCATGCACTAAAATAAATGGCTGTGCTTGGTAGGATGGTTTAGGTGAGAAAATGGACAAAGCAAAAAATTTTGATTGAAGAAATATTTCAGGCAAGTTTCATCAACTTGATTGATACTGCAGGACTTTCAGTGCTATTCAGTGAAAAGTAACTCCACTGGATGAATTGATCTACCTTTCTCTATCTGTCCATCTATTCATCAATCAAAAGACTCTCAGTGTCTGGAAAGAATCAACTGGCAGGTGGGCTTTGGAAACCTCACCCGTCAATGACTCCAATTCTCCCTGTGTTTGAAGAAGGAGTCACAGTGGCACAGTGGTTAGAACGCAGTACTGCAAACTACTTCTGTTCACTGCCAGCTTCCTGCAATTTGGCAGTTCAAATCTCACCAGGCTCAAAGTTGACTTAGCCTTTCATCCTTCCAAGGTGGGTAATAAAATGAGGTTCCAGAATGTTCCAGATTCCAGGCAATAGGCTGACTCTGTAAACCACTTAGAGAGGGCTGTAAAACACTGTGAAGCGATATATAAATCTAAATGCTATTGCTAAGTGCTATATTCTAAGTGCTATATTCTATAATCCTTAACTTCTAACCTGATCTGCTTAATTGGTTCATACAATAATTATTGGTTGCAAAAAAGCTTTTTAAACTGGCAACGTTCCTGTATGAGTAGTTAATGTCGACATTCTTGCACAATTCCTAATCAAAGAATTACAAACAATTAGTCCCTTGAGGATTTTATAAAGAAATTAGTTACTGAAAACTAGAAAGAATAATTATCACCAAGAGATTCAATACTGGTCTTTAACAAAAAAAGTTTCCTAATCTTGAATCTTCTATATTGCTTAGGACCACAAAAACCCCCCCCCCCCCCCCCCAAAAAAAAAGAGAGACTAAAATGTAAGGAAACAATTCTATGAATACCAATTTGACTTCATGAAAGAAAGACAGAATAAAAATCCAATAATTTCCTCTTCTTACCTGAGTTGGAGGTTCAATCACTGATTCAGATCCACCATAAGGAAGAGTCAACTTCTTTCTATCCTTTCCTATGAGAGAGACAGAATTTTAAAAGTGCATAATTAAAAAAGTAGGAAGAGGTGTTCTATAGAAGAGAAGACAATGAGAAGATGAGAAAGCTAGGAGTGGAAGGACCTCTGTTTTACCTCCTGAGGTGTCCTGATTTAGAACTTCCTGACAGATCCTCCTGAAAAACAGTTCTTGAGGGAGATTTGATGGATGCCTCTTTATCTCAGGATCTCTGATCTTCACTGCAAAGGACTTGAAATAATAGGCAGGGGGGGAGGAATTAACAAACATCACACATCATGAAGAGGATTCTTGTTCTATGGTCACCAATTCAAAGCCCCCAATGTCCATCAGTGAGGCTGGAAAGAAGAAACGGCTGTCCCATATCTTTCTTGGTGAATGGAGAATGAAATAATGTCCCAAATAATTAATGAAATCTCTCCACATATTATGCCTGCTATAGAATGCTGGTAGGGAAGGATTAAGAATTCAAATACATTATCTATTTACTAAGTTTATATACCGCCCCTCTCATCGATAAAGCGACATGACATTTAAATCTCTTCTAATCTCCTATGATGATGGTCTCTTACCTGCAGCTCAATCTGCACCTTCTTCTCCTCCGCCTGGCTCAGGAGGAAGCCTTCCACCAGGGCCACCGCCTGGGAGCTGGTCTCTGCTCCACACTCCCGCACCCAGCTCTCCATCTGCAGGGGCAGAAGTGCCAGGAACTGCTCCAAAACAACCAGGTCCAGCATCTGCGCTTTTGT